TACTACAAGTGGAGAAAAGTTATGAGGATTTTCTTTAAAGTCAATAATTAACTCTTTGCACTTGTCAGCGTTGAGTTGCATCAGCTGGGATTGGGACTAGGTGTCCACCGCAGTAACAACGCGTTGTACGTCACCCAGGGAGCCTTGTGTCCCGACCATAAGGAACTTGGTCTTTCCAGGGTTGATTAATAGTTGATTTTTACAGCACCAGGTAGCCACACGGGAACTTTCCACCAAAAGCGCAATGATGGGAGAAAATTTCTTGAATATAGTGACATCATTCAAATTTCCAGGCTCTTACGAGAATCTGATAGGTCTTGGAATTGAAAATGACAGCTAGAGCAGTAATAAAACAAAATTTAAAGGACCTGAGAAACTAAGCAGCCGGTCATTCAACCGGCGCATTGACCGACTAGTTCTTCACATTACTATTATTACTTTTTTTTACTATCTTCTTCTTTAAAGTTCAAGGAGTAAACGTAAACGAAGCGTGCATCCGTTAGTTTTTCTTAGATTTTTATCAGACATTCTAATGTATTTTTTTATTTTTTAAGGATTTATCATAATTTTTGTAAATATTTTTAGTGATTATAGTAAATAAAGGATTTTTATTTTGAAAAAAAATATTACCATTAGTATTATTTATTATCATTAGGCGCCTTAAGCAACAGATGTTTTCGTTGACGACGGCGACTTGACGACCGATAAGAAACTGGGGAGAGAACGGCTTCTGGTTGCGGTCACGACTGCGAGTTGCCATCCTCAACCAAAGCGCCGAGCGAGCTTCGCAAATTTGGTGGTAAATTCAAACCTCACAATAAAGCTCTTGATTCCTTCGCATTGTTCGGTCATGTCGAGCTTGAAGGAAACCCGAGATTTACTTTTGGTTCCCTTTATTAAAAGCGTCACAAAGACAGCTGTCTAAGATACTGTGAATCCTGGATGTGTGTTCAGATTTTGCGCTATTTGGCTCCTTACCGAACCACGGTCTTTGAAGCCAGCCTTGAATTTAAAGGGTTCACATAATAAGATTTCTCTGACCAACATGACATCTTTTTATTTTGTCCACTCCATCCACGAGTTAAACTATATTTGAAAAATAACCCGACGAATTTAAGCCTTATACTATTAAAGCTTTTTTTAATAATAGACACATCCCTTTTAAAATTATTATTGCCAAAAATTACAAACTATCAAGCTTAGAAGAGTAGTTCTGCCTCGGCACATCAAAGACAGAAATTGTTTTACATGTTATATGCGTAATGTTAAAGTGATCGATTGCCATCAATTGTATACTCATTGTTTTTGCCAGCTAGTTTTGTTTAGTGTCGGGAAAAAAAAAAACATTTTGCGAAGAATGAAATCATCTCGTGGGTACAGGAAGCACGTATTTGTCTGCTTGTGAACATGGCGATTAACACACTACATTCAAAATTAATTTGAGTCGATTAAAAAATCTTCTAAGTTAAATGACCGGTTATACATTGAGAAAATCGGAAAAGACAACTAATTATTCCGTTGAATGAAAGCAACCTCTTCGCTAGAAGCTAGTTTTACACGCGAAAACAATTTTTAACAAAATGAGTCTCATTATGCAATTTTACTTAGCTTCCAAATTGAATTAGTCCGAAAGTAAGCTAAAAGTGATCAAAACAAAATATTAAGTACTCAAGTGCTCGTCGCGACGTGAAACCCACGGGACAACGGCAAGTCACAACGTGTTGTTCATGCGCAGTGAGGACTGCAAAGAAATTTCACGTTTCCGGTTGCCATCGTAAGGCCGGCGACGTTTGTTGCTTAAATTGCCTATTATATGATTATTGTTATCATTGATGCTATTCTGTCATTATCAACACTTTCACTGTTGTTGTTGTTATTACTGCGTGAGGTGTAATTTTCTTTATCTTGCAGCCGGCGTCGCTAGAAGCTGATTGCGTGTATTTTGCGAGAATTTTCACCCCCTTCTTCCCCCTCCCTCCAAAACAATCCATCGAGACAGACGCAATATTTTCACAATACAAGAGGCGCTGTCAATAGAGCCGTGAGTGAATAAACCGACAGCAGGTCTTTTGAGAAAATATTGCAAACCGAACTGAACAAACACTTCAAATTTTCCCTTCCACCATCTTTTTTATCTTATTTTGATCACTTACTCAACTGCTTAGGCACGATCTTTAAAAGCACAGACGGAAAAAAAAAGGTGGAAGGACTATGTAAGTTAATAGAAACCCCCAATGCAACGGACGAGAAACATAAACGATGTTTTTGACATATTGCGGTTAGAAAGTAGCCGGTGGCTTCTGGCTGACTTTCAGGTTTAAGAATGTAAAAATCAACGGGTGTCAGCCTTTGAACATGTCATCGTTCAATTATAAGGTGGAGGGAGCGACAACACATTTGCATGTATACTCCACGCCATCGATCTTCCTGCATTTGAATATTTTCGCAATCATCAGAAATAGCTGTACAAACTCAGTTGTTGCCAAGCCTCATTGAAAACGCAACGAAAGTAAAGATTACTCTCCTTCAGGAAACTCAGACTTTACCATCCCAAAGCCAAGAGGGCTTGATATTAATTTTAGTAAAACAAGCCTCAGTATATCAATATATAAAATAAGATAGGCATCGAAAAAAGCGAAATCATGCGAATCAGATATTATCCCAATAGTATCCCTAATTACACCGTTATATTTTTAGGTAGCAACTAAATGGCTAAATGAGTAAACTTTGTGTCCGATTTCGTTTTTTAAGTATGCTTAAACATCAGTTATTCGATATAGATAGACATTGTGCATTTAGTGCGTTGTTTAATCCAAATAAAAGTCATTACACAGATGGCCCCCCCTTGTTAAAAACATGTTTAAGTTAATCTACATGTTACTGGAAAGGTGTCCTTTTCGTCAAACCAATACTGGATATCTTTATCTTTTCATTTTTTTGCTCACAAGATCGATTCTTTGTAAATATTCAGCAATGCGCCTTACTATACTTTTCCTATCGATTTTAACTTGTTTAATATTTCGCCGCAAGGGTAACTTCTCTCTTCATAACTAGCCTCTGACTTATAAGTAATTCAGGCGACAAAATTTCTTCCGCTCAATGAACAATTTATTATGATCATAAAGCAATGCATAAGCGATGAGGAGGCTTATATTACCTGCGACAAAGTCTTCCTCTCGGAAAAGTCTAACACTTCCGGCCCTTCATGATCGTCGGTACAGGTGGAATTGTAAGTCATTTCGTGTTCTAATTCTCGTGGCACGAAAGGCGGATGAATTTCGAAAGAAAACAAGATGAAATTTCATTTCCATCACAACCAAAATTACAACCACCCGCAGACTTTCGTCCATGATGTAACTATGACTGTCGCAGGTATACACACAGAGGCTGTTTTGCACACTATTTTTGGAAACTTTTTTTCCTTTATCATATTTCGCAATTTATGTGTTATTTGAATTCGGCTGAATAATTTTCGAATGTGACAATCCCATTTGACTGTTTACCAGTCCAAGTATTAGAAACAACAGAAACCTTTCACATCCAGTATGCCATTTCCGCGTGTGTATTAAATGTGTTTTATTTCCTGTTTTGAAAAGATAGGGCCTCTCGCTTTATCTTCTTCAAAACAAAAATTAAATCGATAAATAGGTTCACGATGATAATAGAAAAATTCCAAATTTGGAAGGTTCCTAAGAAACGTTATTAACGTATCCCACCCTTACAATTTGTCGACACCGACGATGGGTGGAGAGCAGATCCACATGAGGTTTTGCATCTGCCTTGTATTGTGAGTAAAGAAAGTGAAAAGCTGGGTTATTTCCGGTCTGCTTCGAATCATAATGACATTAATATTTCAGACTCTATAAAAGTCACTTTGGTTTTCAGCAAGTGGCATTTTACAATTAAACCTTTAAAATAGGTGTTAAGGTTCCTGGTAATTGACATGCAGCTGATATCAAGCTGTATTACATATTCAGCCCGTTTCAACCGTCAATACCTACTTGTCCTTTCAGCACAACAAAGTGGTAACTACGTTACCCAACCCCTATAAAGGAAATAATTATGAAAGAGCAAAGCACTTAATTAACTTGTTTCACATTAAGGATTCTATGCGATTCGACATTTATATTTCATAACAACTAGTTCCTTCTTTCTTTCCTTTTTTTAAAATTTTTTTTAACCCCTTTTTTTTGGTGTGTGTGGCACAGGTGCCTGCGGATTATTTTATGTTCGGTTATCAATGGACAAAAATAAAGCGCTCGTTGCATCGACAGTATGTTTGCTTTTGGAGTTGGCGATTTTGGCGTCAAACTGCGTCAAACTACGGGGGCAGATATCAGCTGATTTTGGGAAAGGTTTTTCCCTTTAGTCTTCAGATAAAGTGTGAAGTAGAGCAACTACGCTTGGAATCATCCCACGGAGTTTTATTAAATATTCAGGGCCAAAATTTATCGCTTGTCTTGATGACAGTTTTAATCAACTTCAAATTTTTATGAATTGAAATATTTTATCTGTGAAAACAAAGCTTAAATTTATTTCTATGTAACGATTGATTTATAATGCAGCCTTACAAACGAGTACTATTTTTTTTTAATATTTCGAACGCGAGTTGAGATATAGATGACCAATTAATAACTTATTGAAGCCCAAACATGGTTATGAAACATTCATTCATTCAACTTGGCGAGAAATATGAAACCTCTTGAGAAATAAAAAGAAGTCATCCGAACGGCATCCCAACATTTATGCAATGCTTTAATAAGAGCTGAAAACAGCTACTTTCTTTGTTATCCTAATCTCTCCAAAAAATACGGTTATTGTCGTAGTTTATTTAGACGTGAGGGAGGTATTAGAAGTTGGTATAGCGATAAAATTTACACTCGTGAGTCCAGGCGATGACAACAAACCTTAAGCCAATTTTAATTTACATCCTTTCCAGCTGTTTGAAGTTGTGTATATTTTTATCACCACTAAATATAGTTGACGTCGACGTAGTTAACGTCTTATCTTTGGTAAAGCGGTAAAATGGTTTATTTACTTTATTTGTTATTTAGTGCTTCAAAGAATATATAAAGGGCCATTCGACTCCTTATTCCACACATCGCCTCGATTCAGGGAAGGGTCCTCCAGCAATTTGACGGTAGACTTAAACCAGTATCAAACAAGAAGTCTGTGAAAAAATGTACAGCAACGTTGAAAAGGTAAAACAAGCATAATTATCTTTGTCTCCTTCATGAACGTTACTTTAGCATAACACTACATTGACTGATTTATGAACCTAAGCCTAGCCTTTTTCGTTTTTTTGCGTATGATTTGTCTTATTGCTTTCTTTCTGGTTTATCTACAGGTTGCATTCGTTATTTTCTTGATGGCTGTGCCCTTGTCGCACTGTAACACATTACGAAACGCATTCACGGAAGAGGATTTAACTCCTATAGTAGAAAATCTCAAATGGGACGACAAAGAGGAGCAAACAGCCATGGCAGATAGCTTCCACCAAGAGAGGTACGAAGACAACACCTCAACGGTATGCAATGACATGAGAAGTGTTCAGGAGGAGCTGAGAAAATGTTGTCCAAATGGCTGTCACATTTTCGTCAGCATAACTTGTAAATTAAAATTTTGCGGAAGATGTAAAAATTGAAGCAAGAACTGAAGCACGTGTAACCTTCGAATGAACCAAGCAGAAATAAGAATTAAAGATAATGAATGAAATCTAACATTGTCTCGTTGACTTGTCTTATGTTAACTGAGAAACAACTACGGAGAGGCATAATGTACAAACATGTGTAAAAGAAAGTCTCGAAGGGGTGGGGTAGTTTTGACGATTTTAACGGTGGATGGTTGTCATGAATAAATTTCTTCACGAAATAGAGTCAATATTACGTACTATTAAGGTACTGTACTCATTTTTTTTTAATATATACGGATCATACATTATATTCAGAACTATTAAGTCTTTGTCAGACAAATTAAACTAAAGCGTAACTCTATGACATTAAGCCGCTTAACATTTAAATCTTAATTAATTAAAAAAAATATTTAAAATTAAACCTAAATTAAATAACCTATATCTTTCTAAACTCGTCTCATACAGTCCTCCAAGTAAGTATTTTATGACTTAAATTGACTTGCTATTTGTTAACATATTTTATTCTATTTCTTGTGTGTCTTTTTCATCGTATCAATTGGGACGAAAGTTCTGTTCCTCTCTCCTGCCACTCTACTATATTTTTCCTTTTCTTGTAACTGTGTAATGTAGATTAGTGGTTTGTATTTGTTGAACTTTGGCGAATAAATTGAAAAAAAATAATAAAATAAATATAATTCATTAATTAAAGTAAGTAAACAAAGTAATAAAATAAATATGACCTCTAACCATACTTCATTGCTAGTTTCATAATAATACCTTAAGTACTTCCCGATTGTATAGGCCCGAACAGCTTTAGCAACTTTGCATTCCTGAGTCCTGATTCTTCTAGCCCTGGAGATAGTAAAGGAAAGTTGTTAGTCTGTTCATACAAGAACACAATACTGATAAGATCCGAGCAAAGCTCATCAGAACCATAACGTGGTGTTTCACCCTTCCTTGCCTCTTTTCTTCCTTCGTTTCCCCTCCTTCGAATGTATTCCTCAGAGCTGTTTAATTTGATCATTGGCATGTGTTCTGCGTTGGGTGGTAGTCTGCAGCTGTCCGGTTTTTTAATGAATGACACCACTACGTTGAGATTACTCTGTATTTTTCGTGAGTTCATTGCCAGTTAACTCAACAGAATGCTATTGTCATCCATCTTAGTGACATGGCTGAAACTGCACAGGCAAAGTGAGATACCTTCCCTCTTTCCAGAAAATGTCCCTCAAGGTATAAGTTACATACTATTGACTGAATGGATAGGAACTCTAGGCGTGGATTCTGGACAGTATGAGTCAAGGTGAGTGAAGCACATGCCTACCCGTTGTGTGTTATGCTTAGGGACTCCTTCGAGATGCTTCCGAAGTCCGTAGAACTCTGCACGCGTTTTACCGCGTATTTCACCGTACGGCCCGCTAAATTCAAAGTTTGTCTTGATGGCCGAAATATCTCTTGAAGAAAAATTGGAAATAGACTTAAAGAAAAGTAACGAGGAAAGAAAGCAAAAATCAGAAGCAGATATATCGCAAACTTTCGAGTTAGATTCTTAGAGTTTTTTGGGGGAAGACAAGCGGAAAATAGTGAAAGACGACCATCCACGACGAAGATAACTCAAATCAAGAACTAGATGATTTTCATGACCAACCTGGAACTTTAATTTCAAATGTGCTCGCTCAGAATCCAAGCTTTTTCTCTCATTCATAACGGGAGAAAATGTCTGGACCCAAGAGATCCATTAAGATCACTGATCACTTTACGTGCACCTTATTGCAAAAAGTTATACAATGATGAACAGGAAGACGACTAGGTGACCGATTTCGAGAAACCTTCGCAAAGTAGAAAGAAATGACAAGGACGCATCCAAACCAGTCGCCCGACACTTTAATCTCCCTAATAATTCTAAGCAGAATATGGTAATTTGTTGCCTTTCCCTAAAAAAAAAAATTGATCTTTCAAATCGGCATTCTTAATCCCCATCGTAGCAACGAGCGCTTTTCATTCAACCAATTTATTCTTGGTTTCCTCGTCACCACGCATATTCCCAATCATATTTTCAACCCACAATCCCTCCCATCGCCCTGACGAAGGGCTAACGCTCGAAACGTCAGCTTTTTAACTCTTTACGGTGGCCAATACACTTTATCAACTCAGTTGATAATACTTAATTACCCTGCTATACTCTCCCACCAACGCATCACCAGTTACTTCAGAAACTTACCCCCTTTATTTATGCAACATAACAAACCAGCAGAGACATACCTCTTACTAACCTCGTTTTTCTCAGTTCGTACAGCAAGTCACGAACCTCGTTTCTTACGCCCGATTTATGGCCCTCGCTTCAGACCTGGGCCATAAATCCAAGCGGGAAAGACGAGGCCCGTAACAAACAATACGGCCCTCGACTCTGTTAGTAAGAGGTATGTCTCTGTTGGTTTGTAGTGGGTTTGTCTGCAGTCAGTGCTTTCTCTAGTAAGGGCTTAGAAATGGGGGTGGGGAGTGGGGCGGGAACATCTCTGTAAAAATTCTCGTACGCTGCGCATGCTCCGGTTTCCTTTAGCATGAAACGGCTAGGAGTATTGCTACTCCACCCTAGATGGGATGCTAGTCCATCGCAGGGTTACCCCCAGCATATTTGTACACCTGGGTGAAGAGAAGCACTGTGAGAGTAAAGTGTCTTGCCTAAGAACACAACACAATGACCCTGGCTTACTTATAAAGACAGGCTATAATTTGTCTGTCAGTTTAAATATGGCGGTGAACTAGAGCAATCTGCATTTTATCCGGCAGAATCGGGATGAAACTGTTCATTGCGGTGGGATGGCGAGACGGAATGAACATTAGCATCGGGTTGCGGGATTGGAAAAGTCTATTATGGACCCTCCTACTACCGCACCACACTACGTCAAACTACACCTACTACATCTTCTACACCAGACTGCACCTATTACCTCTTCTGAACCAAACTACACCAAACTACGCTACTGCACCAAACTATACCTACTACACGAGACTACAAAGAATAAGCGTTAGTTTTTTTCGTAGATAATGTACGTAGAACCGTGGTCTATATACGTGACGACCCAACGCATGCGCATAACTAGCTCAGTTACTCAGCCAAGATGACGTCTGCGACAGCAAGTGCAAGCAGTGATTATAATGTGTTGAATAATTAGGGACCTTAAGATACAAGGGTGGAGAGCAAGGACGGGGACGGAGCTAACGAGTAGGAATAGTTGTGGTTGCACTAGCCCTTTTACCTATGGTTAAATAGCGTTTGCCAACGGGTAAGGAACTGCCCAACGGTTAGTTCCATGGATACATCAAAGAGAACAAAAGAACTTCCCGTGACAGTTACAGAACTGAAAAGTACGGTTTATCTGGTCCCTGAAAATCGCCTGCAGTGCTTTGAGGTGACCTCTGATGCGCTTGGCTGATTTCACGCCTACTTGTAGCACGAGGCAACATGGCAGGGATTCGTGCATCACTGTGAGTATTTCTTACTTTTTTTTCATACGTTTGCCCTTCAGACTGTCAGTTACGAAGTTGATTAAGTCATAAACTTTTTTTTCATCTGTTTATGGGAACGTTAGTCAAAACGAAGATGCCTACTACAATCGGGATCTATTTGCGGCGAGGAAACCAAACCAGGCCGCAAGGAATTAACAACACCAGTAATCCCCTGTGTGGTGTTGGCATGGCTCAAAATCAGCCTCCTCTGCATTATCCAGCGATGCTAAATCCCTACCCGATCTACCAGAACCCTGTCCCCGGTGCTGGTGATCACCTTCCGTTTGAACCAGACAAGGACAGCGCCAGTCCATCTCCAAGTGAATTCTCGAACCGAAGTGACGATCGTAACAAGCGCAGTAGCTGGTCGTTGACCGAAGAGAGATGCTCAACTTGAATTACCGCTTATGAGGAGTACTACGATAGACTTAGGTCCACAAAAAGCAGTCAAGGCAAGAAAAACACATGGGAAGATATTTTGAAGCAGTTTCAAAGTATGTGCTTTGACATTGAAGTGGAGTTTGAAAAGTTATTAGCGCAGTTAAAGGAGAGGTGGCGGGCGCTCTTGGGTAAATACAAAAGCGTATGTGATAACAACAATCCCAAGGGAAGTGAACGGAAAACGTTCAAACACCATGAGGACATAGACGAATTTATGGCTTCATCAGACAAAGTAAACCCTAGATTTGTCAACGAAACGAAAGCCCATAAACAAGATTTTGCCGACCGGAAATCAAGATTGTGGCAAGAAACCAGAGAAACGACCAGTCACCATTACTGAAGGCGATAGTGCGGTTGCAGAGAAAACTGGAAAAAATGGGAAAAAGGAGGAAAAGGGACCAAAGTTAAAGAGAAGGAGAAAAGGCTTAGCGGCGATGACATGGAGCTAGCAATCCTTGACATGATGAAGTCTCAGCAAGAATCCATCCAAAGATCCAAGGAGAATGACGAGAGTGTTTTTAAAGCTCTCCTCAAATCTCGAGCAGAAGCGCAGCGACAACACCAAGATTTTTTTGTGTCTGTGTTAGGAAAACTCTTGTCTGCTTCAAAAAATAAGTTTCAACTCAGCGCTTCTATTCCAAAGAAAAAAAAGGGAACAGTTTACGGTTGCAAAAAGACATTTTAAATGATCTCGAATATCATTTTGGACACTGAAATACACAGTGCTGTAAAATGGTTACAACCGCTACTACCTTAGTATAATATACGTTGCAGTTTTGTAGCAAAAATAATATCTTATTGAATGTAAATATCCCGTGATAATTTCTTCACTATTTTGATTGATTTTATGTTACTATATAATTTTTTTATGAAACCTCCTGTTACCTTAAATGAGCTAATTGCTCAAATAAATTGCAAATAAAAATACAAATATTTCGTTACCTTCTATAGTTTAGGACGCAAGGAGGACAAAGGGGATACAGCCTATTGATTTGCAATGGTTTGAACAAGGGCTTGTAAAACCACAACTGCAGCCTGGGAATGGGAGGGGGCACAGTCGTCAT